TTTGCTAGCTACTACATGTGTTTATTTTAAGCTTTTACTTACTTTATGATGTTTCTTGGCTTGTAGCTGTTCTTATTTTTATTGTTATTATTTATATTGAGCCATTCTTCATTACATATATGTTTATTTTTATATGTTTATTTATTTTTAAACATTTATTTATTTTTATATTTCAACATTTATTGTGTACATTATTTATATTTAAACATTTATTGAGTCTAACAAATGCAAAATATTATTTGCTAAGTCACAAGTAAACAAAGAATTTAAGAATAATAACCACCTGGCCGATTCATTAGTTAACTTATTCCGATATTTTCTTATTATAAGTGAAGCTCTGGAAAATAAACGTTTAGCTGGAACAGAAGTTGCAGGGATTGTTAAAAAGTCTCTACCCATGCGGGATATGTTTGGATTGGTTTTCGCATGCCTGCGCCACCATTGTAATATATGTAGCCTCGGTAGTCTAAAGGCTCAGGACGCTCGCACGGATTGCAAGAGATCCGGGTTCGACTCCCGGCCGAGGTAATATTTTTCGCAATAAGAATTAATTATTTACAGTTTTTAATATGTTATTCATCATTATTAAGATCGTTTAGAAGATGCGAATAAGCATCAAAAAATAGTTAAAAATTGCTAGTCAATTTTAACTCGTGATATTACTGCGGTAGTTTAGTAGAGTTAGCGTTTCAAGACCGAAAATTTTTCGGCGCGCGTTTCTGTGGGACTACATACGTAGTATATAAATTCACATAAGAATCATACAAGCATTAAGATCCAGCTAGACCGTGTAAAGGCTTTGATTTCTATAGTTTGTGTTATCACATGTACGGTCCTATAATATATTATATTAGTAATATATGTATCTTCGTCCGCGTAAGCACGTTCTGCAGAAAAATAATTATCAATTTCTTGTTTCCAACGTTGATTATGTGGACTATATTTTTGCTCGATAAGAACTCTCCGTGTTTTAAACAAATTGTTCAATTGTATCGAATCCTCGTCAGATGATATATTTTTATTATTTTTCATCAATTAGAATTGTATCATTATTTAATATGTCATCTACATCTTTATTCCACAATAGTGCTCTTTATAAATTTCCTCAAATTTTGTCAACGAAGCATTAGCCATTTCTTTTCTCTATTCAGGAAGTTGGGAAGTCTCGTTTTTATATCGTGAATCAAGAATCAAAACAATGCATTATACGAGTATGTAATTCATTTTTCTGTAATGTTATACAAGTTTATCTCGGGCAGTAACTAATGCTTCTTGAATATCATAATATACATGTGAAAGATGATCATCTTCATTGTATTTACCAATTGCTTTTCGATTTTATCTAATAACATATTAAATGTTACCACGTCGAGGGGCAATGTAACATACTTTTCTCCGCCAAGAATATCAGATAATTGTTTGAACAGACGGAGATATTGAAAAACTTTTGATAATATTTCTCCGGAAATGCAAAAGTTCCGTAAACATTCGTTGTTTTGACATAGTAGATCCAAAGCCTGTTTCATTCTGAGTGCTGCTTTAATCATTTCAAAAGTAGAGTTCCATCTCGTAGATACATTTAGAATTAGTGCTTAATATTTCTTGTTTCACAGCAAGCGTTAAGTTTATTTTTCAACTGTTCTGAATATTTCAATTTTTTTGAAGAGAGATCATAAATTTTGAAGAATGTCTTTTGCCAATTTTCTGCTATTCTCGTTGGTCTTATC